AATCAGCATTCTATTATCTGTTTCTAAAAATTTGACTGTTTTAGATACTTTATATGAGTGGGAGCATGTGGCATTTGTCTTTTTGTGACTAGCTTATTTTAGTCAACATAATGTCCTCCATGTTGTATATCTCAACAGGGTTATTCCTTCTTTAGGCTTAATGATATGATTTGGATCTGTGTCCCCACCCAAATCTCATCTTGTAGCTTCTGTAGTTGCCACTTGTCGTGGGAGGGACCCATTGGGAAGTAATTGAATCCTGGGGCGGGTCTTTCGCATGCTGTTCTTGTGATAGTGAATAAGTCTGATGAGATCTGACAGTTTTAAAAACAAGAGTTTCCCTGCACAAGCTCTCTCTTTGCCTGCCACCATTCATGTAAGATGTGGATTGCTCCTCCTTGCCTTCCACCATGATTGTGAGGCCTCCCCAGCCATGTGGAACTGTAAGTCCACTAAACCTCTTTTTCTTCCCAGTTTTGCATGAAAATGGATTGATACACTGAATAATATGTTTTATAAAATTTATTTAACTGTTGGTAGACATTAATGTTGCTTCCACTTCTTGGCTATTGTGAATAATGCTGCAATGAATGTTGGTACACAAATATGTTTCTGAGTCCCTGTTTTCAATACTTTTGTGTATGCACCTAGAAGTGGGATTGCTGGGTCATATGATAATTCTATTTTTAATTTTTTGAGGAATCTCTGTACTTTTTTCCATAATGGTTATACTATTTTACATTCTCACCAACAATGTGCAGGTGTTCCAATTTCTCCATGGCTTCACCAATGCTTGCTATTTTCTGGTATTTTGACAGTGGCCATCTTAACTGGTGTGAGGTGACATCTTATTGTGTATTTGATTTGCATTTCCCTAATGATTAGTGAGGTTTAGCATCTTTTCATATGCTTGTTGGCTATTTGTGTATCTTTTTTGGAGAAATATCTATTCCTTTGCCCATTTTTAAATTGGGCTGTTTTACTTTTTCTTGTTGAGTTGTGGGAGTTTTTTTGTGCATTCTGAATATTAATCCCTTATGAGACATATAGTTGGCAAATATTTTCTCCAATTTCATAAGTTACCTTTTCACTCTGTTGATTGTTTTCTTTGCTGTGCAGAGTTTTCAAGCTAGATTAGTCCCATTTATCTATTTTTGCTATTATTGCTTATGTTTTTGGTGTCAAATCCAAGAAATCACTAAAAAGTCTAACGTAATGAAGACTTTTTTCCTTTCTTTTAGGAGTTTCATAGTTTCAGATCTTACATTTTGATCTTTAATCAATTTTAAGTTTTGTATATGGTATAAGGTAAGGGTCCAATTTCATTCTTTTGCATATAGATACAGTTTTTCCAATATCATTTGCTGAAGAGACTGTCTTTTCTCTCTTGTGTAGCCTTGGTTCCTTCATAGAAGACATTTCATCATTGTCCTTTGAGATTCCATATTAATTTTAGGATTCTTTTTTATTTTCTACAAAAAAAAATATGCCATTAGGATTTTGATACTGATTGCATTGAATTCATTGTTTGGTCTGAGTAGGGTGGATATTTTAACAATATTAAATCTTACAATCCACGAACATGGTGTGTTTCCATTTGTTTGTGCCTCTGTTAATTTCTTTCAGCAACATTCTATAGTTTTCAGTGTACAAGTTTTTTAATCTTGGCTTAAGCTTATTCCTAAGTATTCTTTCTGATGCTATTGAAAATCATATTTTTTCTTAAATTATTGTCAGATTGTTTATTGTTCATGTATAGAAATGAAACTGACTGTCTACAGCCATATCACCCTGAACACACCCAATCTCATCTGATTTCAGAAGCTAAGCAGGGTCGGGCCTGGTTAGTACTTGGATGGGAGATATGCAACTGATTTTTGCATATTGATTTTGTATTCTTCAACTTTGCTGAATATGTTTATTAGTTCTAACAGGTTTTTTTTTTTTTTAGAATCATTAGGGTGTTCCTACATACAATATCATGTTATCTGTAGACATAGATAATTTTACTTAGTCCTTTTGTGTTTGGATTCTTTTTATTTCTTTTTCTTGTCTGATTGCTCTGGCTAGATATTCCAGTGCTGTGTAGAAGGGAAGTGACAAGAGTGGGTATTCTTGCCTTGCTTCTTATCTTAGATGAAAAGTTTTCAGTTTTTCACCATTGGCATGATGTTGGCTGTAGGCTTTTCATATATGGCCTTTATTATGTGGATGTCATTCCCTTTAGTGTGTGTGTGTGTTGAGTGTTTTTATGATGAAAGTTTTTAGAGTTTTGCAAAATGCTTTTTCTGCATCAATTAAGATGATAATGTGGTTTTTATTCATCATTCTGTTAATGTAGTATATTACATTGATTGATTTTCTTATGTTGAACCATCCTTGCCTTCCAGAAATACATTTCACTTAGTCATGATGTATAATCTTTCTAATGTGTTCTGTATTGGTTTGCTAGTATTTTGTTGAGGATTTTTGCCACAAGAGGCAGTGTTTCCCCCCTTCTATTTTTTGAAGATTTTGAGAAGATTAGTTTGTCAATTTTGTTGATCTTTTCAAAGAATGAACTCAGCTTTGCTGACTTTTTTTCTCTGCTCTATTTTATTAATCTCTTCTCTACCCTTTATTATTTCCTTCCTTCTGCTAACTGTAGGTTTAGTTTGATCTTCTTTTTGTAGTTACTTAAGGTGTAAATTTTGATTGGTGAATTGAGATCTTTCTTCTTTTGTAATGCAGGTGTTGCTGCTGAGAGATCCATTTATAAACTTATGGAAGTTCCCTTGTATATAATGAGTTACTTTTCTCTTGCTGCTTTTAAGAGCCTCTTTTTGTCATTTGCCTTTTGACAGTTTATAATGTTTCTTAGTGTCAGCTTTTTTACATTCATCAACATTATTGTTCCTTGAGCTTTTTGAATTTGGATAACCATTTTCTTTCTCAGATTTGGGAAGTGTTTAGCTATTATTTCTTTAGATAATCTCCCTGTCCCATTCTCTCTCTTTTCTTCTTCTGAAACTTTTATAATGTATATATTGCTCTGCTTGATGGGGTCTTATAAGTTCCTTAGGCTTTCAACACTTTTCATTGTTCTTTTATTCTTTGTTGTTTGTTCTTTTGTTCTTTGAAATTTCAATGTCTTTGAAGTCACTCACTCTTTCTTCTGCTTGATCAAGTCTACTTTCATCCGTTCTAGTGAATTTTTCAATTCAATTATTTTATTTGTCAGCTCCAGAATTTGTTTGGTACTGTTTCATTAGTTTTCTTGTTTTTTAAATCTATTTAATGATACTCTTAATTTGTTCATGCATCATTTTTCTAATTTTGTTTAGTTTTCTGTCTTCTCTGAAAGCACACTGATGTTCTTTAGATAATTATTTTTAATTCTTTGTTAGCTACCTTCACAGATCTTCATTGTTTCTTAGAACTGGTGTTTGAAAATTGGCTTTATTCCTTTGAATTAGCCACGTTTTCTTATTTCTTTGTGTGCCTTATTTTTTACTGTGATTTTTGCATTTGAAATGCAGCCCCTACTCCCAATCTTTGTGCACTGGTTTTGTACAGGGAAAACCTTCACAAATCAGCCTGTATAGAGATTCTAGTGGCTTCACAAACCATTTATGGGAATGCATCTTCTCTCTGAACTTGTACATGTAATTTTATAGTGAAAGAGGTTTGCCAGTTTCTTTTTCAGGAACTTGTCAACTCTTGCTCTCTCTGGTGTCTGTCTGCAGTACATCAGTTTCTCTGGTGCTGCCACAATTCACTGAACTGCACTTTGTTCTCAGGCATCTAAAGCGTCCTGGTTCCCTGTTAATGCTCCAAGTTAGGAGAGGTCAAAACCAATCTCTCAGGCAGCACCCTCCTCCCACCACACAAGCTGGAACTTAGACATACATTCCAACTTCTTCTTTCCCTACAAAGGAGAAGCTGTACATTTTCCCTACAAAGGAGAAGCTGTACATTGGGGCTTTGCATTCGGATTATGTACTATAACAGCTTAGAGGAGGAGTTTGCTTCTCCTTCCCATTTCAATGGGGCTATTCTTGGCTTTGTGCTTGACTGGTGTACTTCAACTTTCTAACTGATTTCTACCATTGTCATAAAGGCATTTTGGGCGATGTATTGTTGTTAAGTCAGTGTTTCTGTTGGGGAGCAAGGTCTGGGCATCTTCTTCTGACATCTTATTGGCATTATTCTTAATAAGATTAGAAGTCTAACAGCCAAATTTAAGAAATACACAGATAATTTACAAATGAGAAAATAAAATTACTGAAAGGACTCATGAAACGATGCTAAAATGTTAATATTTTTTCAAAAAAAATTTAATTTATTGCTAAATAGAAAGTAGCCTTTATCCTAGAATTCTTTAAACTCTGGGTTTAAAGATCTATTATTGCTTTCCTGTTATTAAGTAAATTATCCTGGCCCTGGAAATATGTCCCTCAGTCATTAAGTTTTACACGTTCAAATTCATTTTATCTTCGCTTTTAACCTCCTCTGACAAATCTGAAACTGTTTCTCCTACTCTAACCCTTATCTTAAAAACATTACCAATTTGGCAAAATGGTAATGTTGACATAAATGGTAATTTTGACAAAAACAATATTACCAATTTGGTTCTGTCATTTTTTTTTCTTTTTATCTTCTTCTTTTTTTTTTTTAAACAGGGTTTTGCTCTGTTACTCAGGCTGGAGTGCAGTGGCTTGATCATAGCTCACTGTAACCTTGAACCCTGGGTGCAAGTGATCCTGCCTCAGCCCCGCAAGTACTCAGGTCTACAGACATGTGGCACCACACCCAACTAATTTTATGTAGTGATAGGATCTTGCTCTGTTGCCTCGACTGATCTTGAACTCCTGGCTTCAAGTGATCCTCCCACCTCAGCCTCCCAAAGCACTGGGATTACACAGATGAGCCACTGAATATGGCCATGGTCTTGACACTTTTTACCTCATAAATATAATGGGAGAAATGTACTTTCTTTTTCTTTTTATCCTCCCTTCATTTCCTCCCTTCATTTCCCCCTTCATTAAGCCCTCTCCACTATAACTTTTAGAAAACTCAGCTATGAATAGTTACAAGAATACACTAAAGTAATTCAGGCCTTCATTACCTCCCAAGTGAACTGTTGCTCTTCCTGAAAACTGGTCTCCCTACACATGACTCCCCAGTGTGGTATCATTTTTCTACACCCACACCATGGCAATTCACACCGCTGTGTTCCATATAAAATAGTGCCTCTACTCAAAGACATTTAATTATCTTGCTTTGCACCTTCTGTTACTCATCCTTCAACTCCATCTCAATTCCTCTTTGGATCTTACATAGTTGAGTTAGTTTCTTTTTTTTCTGTGATGTGGTAGCATATCTCTGTTTATATTTTATTACACTCACTTCTCAAACTGTGATTCATTGATCAGCAGTATCCATAGCCTGGCAGCTTGTGTAAAATGAAGAATCCCAGGTCCCACTCCAGACGCAGTGAACCACAATGGTTCTTATACACATAAAAATTTGAGAAAGACTTCCATTAACCGTATCATGCAAGGTTTGGATGCCTGCTTTTCACATTAAATGCTGCATTTCTCTAGATAACAACCGCTTATTTCATTTTTTAATTCTCAAATAGTGTCTGTTTATGCTAACCACTAAATGTATATTAAATAAGTGAAAGAGAAAATGGAAACAGATGGTTTAGTGGTCACCTAAGTAGGAGTGACAAAGCCAGGATTCTACAAACATTTATGTGTTGGGGGTTATTTCTTTCATTATGCTATGCCACTTACAAAATATATTTCCATTCCATTTCTGAACCTCCAAGATGTTGGATGGCACACTTATAGTCACAAGGCTATTTTAAGTGGCAAAGACGACTCTAGAACACTAGTTTTTTTCTTGACACTTAGTCGAAGATCTTTCTATTTTGTCATTTGGCCTCTATCTGTCAGCAGAATAAATGGGAAACACATTAATTGAACTTCTGTCCTCACAATGCAAGTTTCAAAGAGCATCTGCCATGGTGAATGAAAATATGTTTGTAGTTCACAGTGTGCTTCAATTCAGTAGTACTGGATTAAAGTCCAGTAAACCAGGATCAATGAACATCTTTATTCCAAAGTTAAGGCTGATGCCCTAACTGAAAAACAAAAATGAAAACAAAAATGTAAGAAATAATTAGGAATATAATTAATCAATTTACCAATTTGATTTTCCCTATCCAGTGCAATAATTTTCTTTTAGTATTAATTACATTTTACAGTACATTTGTACAAATATGTGATATAAAATGATTACAAATTTCCATTTTGAGTGAGAGATATTTATACCCCAAATGCCTCATTTATTTATGTTCCCTATTCCCAATATGCTTAAATACTTTGGGCTAAAAATATACATGATGTTTTGTCATTGCCACCAATATATCTTGCTTTTCTTTGTTTCTATTTTGAAATAACTCTATCATGCCACAAGTGGCCTATTTCTCATTATTTCTTTATTTATGGGATATGTACTATGTTCCACGCACTGTGATATGCTATACCATCAGGAAATTCCACCTCTAGGAATCTTATGGACAAATGGAGGAAATAGCCAAAGAATCAAGCAGTTTACAATGAACTTTCACAGAGGCAGGGGTAAACAGAGGGTACTTACTATGGTCTGAAACTCCTATGTTGAAATCCTATTCCCCAATGGGATGGTATTAGAAGGTGGAGTATTTGGGAAGTGATTAGGTCATGAGGACAGAGCCCCCATGAATCGGGTTAGTGCCCTTTTAATAGGGGCTCCAGAGGTACCCTTGCCCCTGGTAACAAGATATCAACTATGAACTAGAAAGTGGGCCTTCACAAGACATGAATCTGCCAGTGCCTTGATCTTGGACTTCGTAGCCTCCAGAGCTGTGAAAAATAAATTTCTGTTGTTTGTTAGCCACCCAGTTTACTGTATTTTGTTATTGCAGCCTGAATGGATTAGGACAGTCCTAAAGGGCATCTAGTAAGACATAGGACCAGGCCCAAGTTTGGAGAACAGAAAAGCTTTTGCAACATCTAACTATGAAGCAAGGTCCCAAAGAATGAGTTGAATTTAATCTGACAAATTATGTAGGATAAGATGTTCTAGACAGAGAGCTGCATGTGTAAAGCTCTAAGCCAAGAGAAAGAATGGAAGGTTCAGGATAACTACAAGTAGTTCAGTAGGGGTGGAACAGAGCTTTTCTGGTGCCAGGGAAAAAATGGTATGGAGTATGATGAGTTAAAGCCAGACAAGAAAGCAGGGGCAAGATCATGAGGGGTGCTGAATATTCTGCAAAGAAATTTGGGCATCATTTTAAATAATAAGAGTGATATGTAACGCATTTCTAGTGCTTACTGTAGGCCCCGTACTGTTCTAAGCTCATTTCACTTAGTCTTCACAACCACCATATGCCCTAGGTACTGTGACTACTCCTAATTTTTCAATAATAAAACATACTGTGAGAGCCACCGTAAATGAAATCTTCTCTGAAGATCTGAGTTTGGTTCGGCATTGGCTGCCAAAAGATGAAGCCAGGGAGATTCCCTGTAGGCATTTTCCTTGGGAACCATCACAGATCCACTGTGAAGAGGAAAGCCAGCCAGTTCTGGAGTGTCATCACCTTTTCCTCCAAGAATATTTGCAATCTTTCCTGAAGGAGAGAGAAAAGATTCTGTATTGGCTTAAAAAGATTGAATCATTCTCACAGTTGAGATCTAGGTTGCTGAAGGAATGACTCAGAGGAGGTGAATTAAACAGAAAGTTCCGAAATTTCCTCATAGAGAATCTTGGAACCTAGCCTCTCATGGAAGGATTTCTGTACCAGAACCTGCATCCTTGGGAAAGGGGTTTCCTGAGTTTGCTGTCTGCTAGTTTATGTGCTATCTCTAGACAATCAAGCTGTGTTGTAGTTCAGAAAGCACAATTAGATAATGTAAAAAAAAAAACTGACATTTCTGCTCACACAATGGAAAATTAGATGCAGCCCCACTACATTTAACCAACTTTGTTCAATAATCATTAATTATACCTGTTGTATATACACATATAAAACAAGCCATTGGAACTTCAAAATGTTAGCCTACTTGGTTCGTCAGGAGTTTCATGAAATTTGTGCAGTGGGTACTGCCGAGTCCTGGGCATAAGGCTCCACCATGCGGATGAGCCTCTGCAAATAGCACTGACAAAAATATTTTTTCCTTTTTTTTTAAGACAGAGTCTTGCTCTGTCGCCTAGAATGGAATGCAATGGAACAATAATGGCTCACTAGAGCCTTGACTGCCCAGGCTCAAGTGATCCTCCCACATCAACCTCTTGAGTAGATAGGACCACAGCCATGCGCCACATGCCTGGCTAATTTTTAAATTTTTATTAATTTATTCATTTATTTACTGTAGAAACAGAGTCTCCCTGTTGACCAGGTTGGTCTTGAACTCCTGGTCTCATGTGATCCTCTCACCTCAGCCTTCCAAAATGCTGGGATTTTAGGCCACCATGCCCAGCTGAGCCACCATGCCCAGCTGACAGTAATTTTTAAAAGAGAATTTGAAGTTATAATAAAATCAGAGATCACAGGTCAAACACTTATTTTATAAATGAACAAAGTTAAAGCAATCAAACTAACTCTTAATTCACTTATTCAATCATTTTAATTATTAAATAATCAGATTAAGTATGTTCAATGGGTATTTGCTTTATTTTTTGTCTACACATAATCTAAGCTCCTTTTCTACTTGGGAGGAATTTTGTTGTGTAAATGTGGTGAAGTAAAACCCCGCTTCCCTGTAGGGAACTGGAAAGAACATTCAGCCCCTCTTCTCACCCCATGAATTAAGATGCAGGTATGTCTCTTAGGTTTAGCCAATAGGCTACTCTATGCAGGAATGTTAGCTCTGTAGTAAATGACAGAATTGGGATAGTTAGAGGTTGTTCTGGAGGCAACAGAACTTGACTAGGTCAAATAGTCATAGTAGTGATAGATGTTCATGCCAGCAGCAATGGTGAGGACCCAGTGGTGACACTGCTAGTGACAATGTCCTATCAAGCTGTTATGGAGATATAAGTTTAGATACATGTTCTCTTCCCACTCTCTAAGGTCCATTTCCTGGGAGAGGTACTTTTAGCCTTCTTATGGACTATCTGAGCCAACCTATATTCTTTCAATGTAGTTCTTTTCTGGTTAGTAAAACAAGAGTCTATTTTGTTGTGCAACAAAGACCCTGATTGAAACAGAAATTGTTACCAGTAGCCAGTTATAGCACAGAGCTTCCATGAAATGGGCAGAATTTAGGGTTTTTATCTGGCCTTGTTGAGGCTGAAGAAATTTTAGATCCTAATCATTTTAGTGATGGAATTTAGATTTGCCTGATCCTAGCACGGAAAGGTGAAACAGTAATTCAATTATTTCCTGTTGTCACCTGGAATGAAATCCTACTACCTTGTAGTTGTCAGGCTGTGTGGTTGCCAAGAGAGGCCATGTGTAGGGGCCCCAGTCACCAGTCCTAGTCTTTGAGTCAGACCAGTTTAGGTACCAGACATGTGAATGAACAAACTTTCAGATGCTTCTAGCCCACAATCGAGTCATCTCCAGGCTTCAAGACTTCCTAGCTGAGATCACAGACATAGAGCAAAGACAAACTGTCTCCCACTCCAATTCCTTACCTACAGAATCCATGATTAGAATAAAATAATGGTTTTGAAACACAAAGCTGTGGGTTAATTTTTTTATGCAACAACAATAACTAGAATGGGAACCTATACCAATTCAGCTGTTAATGAACTGGGTAGACAGCCAGGCACTTGAAAATAGTGTCCTTGGAGCATGTGGAAGAACTTTGGGGAAAGGGTATGCTGAAGGGGTATGATCCTTTATAGTGAGCCCAGGATGTGAATATATTTTTTGGGAAGTTATGTATTCACCACAAAGCCTCTAGTGTGAATAAGGTGACCCATTATGTAGGCATAGGTCACCCTTCTTTCTCAGGAAATTCTAGTGGACTCAAGAACCACATGTTCATCATGGAAGGAATGAAGGTTATTCATGATTTCAACAACATGGAGTTCTTCCCAATGGTAATATGGCTATGGTCTTGATGAATACTTGATTTTCTAATAGCAGCAGACCATCATAAGCTCCTTATAAGCATTATACCTAGAAGAACCAAAGAACTATTTGGTGTCAGGTTGTCTAGAGTGGGCTGCTGCCATCTTTTAGGGAATAAAGAGTGAGGAGCAGAAATCTTTCCTTCTTGCAATAAATATTCTGGATTTTTTTTTTTTTTTTTTTTTTTTTTGTTGATCATTTTTCTCTGTCCTTGCTCTGTCTATAGATTAATTGTCTACCTTATGCAAGGGCATGGTATCCCACACAAAATTGCTTCAGTTTAAAGGAAATAACTTTATAAAGAAACAAGGCAATAGCTTTATAAAGAAACAAGGCAATGGCCTAATGTTCAAGAGATTCGTTGGTATTATTGCATACTTCATTACTCGTCATTGAAAACTCAGATGAGCTTCATCCAGAGTTAACAGCTTGCAAATTTAAAGTGCTGTCCTGCAGAATATGGTTTGTGTTCTGAACAAGTGACTATCACATGGAGTTCTGTTACCCCCTTAGCTAAAATATATGGGCCTAGAATCCTAGGATTGGCAACTGGGATGCAAGGCTTTGAGATTACATTTACTGACACCTTCTAATTGTTTGCTTGGTGTCCTTTTGATTTTGGACTCTGATAGCATAGCACCAAGAGAAGGGGAATTCTTTTCCAAGAGACACAATAATATTGCATTTATTTGTAAACTAAGGCTGCACCTGATGAGTTTGGATTTTTTGTGCCCTAGATAATCAGGGAAACAAAATGATCGTTACCGTTATTAATGTGTTACTGTGTTTTCTTGTTTCCCTTGAAGGAAAGTATAGTTATTGCTATATTTGGGGATAGGAAGAAAATGTCAATGAAATTATACTGCAATCTAATTCAGGAGGGCCACAAGGGGTTCAGATCCCTCACCATACAGGAAAAAGAATCATGGCCCACTGAGATTCAAACTGAAGGCAAAGGAAGTGAAGTAGAGGAGGAGATTCATATAGTTCCAGTGAGGCCTCAGCCTAATTACAAGCCCAGTAGTACACTCCCTATATTCCTTTTATCTGTATTATACACAGTCTGTGTTGCTGTTGTTACTGATTTTTGTTAATTTATAATCAAGAGTTGACTAGTACTGTTTCCTAGTTAGTTGTTGACTCATTTTTCTGGAAAATGATACAAAAAGCAGCAAATGTCTAATTTTAAGTTCATATGTAACTGGAATTATATAAATTTGCATCTATTTTAACTAAATTACATTACATAAAGCAATCATAGCTCTTGAAAAATACTATATTTTAAGTAAGTGTGCATATAAAACATTATGAAAAGGGTTTATTTTATTGAAACATTTAATCAGGTAGTGATTTAAACCCTAAAGGGACTCTCATTTCCTGGATTTTATAGTTATAGAGACTGTACCTGTGAAGTTATTGATTTTTAGTTAGTATTTTTCTGATTCAAAATATTTCTCAGCTTAACATAAAATCTTTCATATGCCAAATATAAAAATTACATTTCAACTAGTTTCTACTATGAAATTGAACTCCTTTCTTAAATACTCCTTATAATAAAAGTAATTGAGTCTGGGAGAAGAACATTATATTTAGTAATATTATTGGGGGAAAGAATATCAAAGTTTAAGACTTAATCATTATTGGAGACACTATAACTCACTATGATATTTACATATCAAGAAATAAATATTGTGAGTTAAAAAATAACTAGCTATGAGATGGAAAAAGCATTCTATGAGTGTTAGAATTATTTGCCACGTGACAGGAAAATGAATCCTTGAAGGATACAAGCTTTGGATCATACAAGGAAGAAAATATAATGATTTGGGTTTAGAGTCTTTCACAATAAACTGATAGTTATGTAAGAATATTATTTAAGTGGTTACAGAGCAATTTATCATAGAAAAGTGTTTAATTAAGACTCTGAACTGATTTACCACAGATGTTTTAAGCATTTCCAAACATTTCCACATAAATTAAACATGATGTAATTGAGTGTTACATTAAGCAATGTTCCACTGTTGATTCATGTGGAAATCACAGAAGTTTCAGATTACTATCTTTCCAGTGTGTATTAATGTAGATATCATAGGTATTTTCATGAGAATCACATTTCAGTGGGCCATTTTATATAGTGAAATACAGTTTTCAAAATGTCATTATCTATGCAGATCCATATACCGTTTGGAATTTAATTTATAAATAAGTACCATAGTATTAGGATTACTTCAAGTAAAGCCAGATATTTAACTTAAGACATGTTTATTTGTATGTATCAACAAATAAGTTATTTCTGGTTAAGAAGTCATGCTTTTTTGTGGTTATTCATTTTCTATTCTAGCATTAAGAATAATTTAGGCAATAGGCTGTTTCTTAATTCTGTTCTTTTGAGCTTCCTAATAATCACACAAACTATTTCACCCTTGTTTTTAAATTTATATCCAAATATGCATCAAAAGCAATTTAACGCAGGTTACTGAAATTTTTTTAATACAGAAAAATTCAAAATGTTTTGAGTTGAGAAGTATTTTTAAACAAGGTAAAGGAAAAATAAGAATGGAAAAGTTAGATGGAGCCAGAAGTCAGGTTAACATCTAAAAATCATAAGCTTG